AGGTGCGCCTGACCCGAGCCATGGTGTTTTCAATAACCTCATATGCATGCGAAAGCTGGACAGTGAATAAGGAAGACCGTAGAAGAATTGATGCCTTTGAGTTATGGTGTTGGATGAGAATATTGAAAGTGCCATGGGCTGCCAAAAGAACATCAGATCTGTGTTGGAAGAAGGACAGCCAGAGTTCCTTGGAGGCCAGGATGGCCAAACTTCGTCTCTCATACTTTGTACATATTGTCAGGAGGGACCAGTCGCTGGAGACAGATATCATGTTTGGTAGGGTGGAGGGTCAGAGAAAAAGAGGAAGACCCCCAGTGAGATGGATTGGCAAAGTGGCAGCATTGATGGGCTCAAGCGTGGCAACAATTGTGAGGTTGGCCCAGGATCAGGCAGTGTTTTGTTCTGTTGCGCATAGGGTCTCTGTGAGTTGGAACCAACTCAATGGCACCTAACAATAACACCTTAGCTAGTTCCCTTCTCTCTGGGAAGACTGATAGAATTTTTAACCCACTGACCACATAAACAGCAATCCTAGAGTGATCAAGTAGAAAACGCTTGTGTTCTGTTATCACAGGGATGACAGTTTCACCTCTGATTTTTTGAAAGTCTATATTAAATTTGGAAGCAGAGGAATTAAAAAAAAAATTAAGAGTACAACTGTAGGACGCTTCTAGAGGAGGAGAAGAGTTTGTGACTATAAATGCCATTTTTGAAAAATTATTAAATCCCAAAAACATGAGTTCTAAACTTCATTTGGAATCCCAGGGTGGTGCAGATGGTAAAGCACTTGACTACTTACATCAAGATTGGTGGTTTGAACCCACACGGGAGGAAGGCAGAGTTCTCTGTAGCACATGGGCTAGCCATGAGTCCGAGCTGACTCAGTGGTAACTGGTTTGGTTTTGGGAATCTGCCTTTAAAATACTGATTCCAACAGTTTGAGGCATGTATTTGGATGCAATGTTTATTCCTCCTGCCTATTTGAGCTTATTGTCACTTAACTGGGTAGTTAAAGAAACATTTGATAACCCTTTAAATAAACTGCTTTCTGAAGGCAGTTTCCATACTACTTTGTCAACAGGTGTCTTCAAACATCTCTATTCCACAATTAGGAAGCAGGCTGGTTTTAGAAATCTTAGTTAAGTGTTCCTGTACTGGGGAGAGTACTTGGCAGTCAGAACACATCACAAATCCTCTCTGATGACTAGACCAGCAGGCCTACCACACGGTAGAGCAATGAAGAAGGAACCACCAAGGATCTATGGTGCCAGTAAGAGGCAGATGCTAAAGAGAAAATCCATGGCTACAGCTCACTAATGAGAGATGGCAGCAGAGTAAAAGGCCTTACTTACGAAGACCTGTGCTGAGTAATAAGCAGGTTTGGGGATGGATGAATTCCCATTTTGTGCAACAAATGAGAATACCCCAACTGCCTCAAGAATGTACAAAGGTACGCTGACCAACTGAAGGAAAAAGAGGTGTTCTATGTGGTACTGTAGGATAAGCATAGACCGCAAGGTCGGCAGTTTAAACTTACCAGCCACTCCTTGGAAACCCTGCACAGTGTTGCTGTGAGTTGGAACCGACTCAACAGCATTTAAGGCACACACACATGTAGCACTGTAGGATAAGTACAGGACTGCAAGGTGAGTTTGAACTGTAAGATCAGCAGTTCAAATTCACCAGCACTCTTTGGAAACCTTATACAGGGTTGCTATGAGTTGGAACTTACTCGACGGCATTTAACAATAGGCTATTTGCTGACTAGAAAAATATACAATTAATTTCTAAACACTGACAACATATACAGGCTTAAGATCAATCCCGCAAACCTTGCTATAAAATTATTCCTTTTAGTGGTGTTTTCTACACTTCAACCTTTGAGAGTAAACCACTTATAATAACTATTAAGATAACACTTAAAAGTGCTTTAAAGCACTGAAGACACTCTGATAGCTCAGTAGGCTTCTGAAGGCAAGTGGTGGTTTTGGGTAAAGCACTGTCTCACTAAGACTAGGTTCCTGGGAGCCAAGAATGGCTAGTCCTACTTTTATTAATGTCTTTAACTCTGGGTTGTCATTGTTGTTGTTAGGTGCCACCAAGTTGGTACCGACTCATAGTGACCTTATTCACAGCAGAACAAAACACTGCCCAATCCTGGGCCAACCTCACTATTGTTGCCACACTTGAGCTCATTGATGCTGCCACTTTGCCAATCTATCTCTCTGGGGGTCCTCCTCTTTTTCTCTGACCCTCCACCCTACCAAACATTATATTCTTCTCCAGCGACTGGTCCCTCCTGACAATATGTCCGAAAGCACTCCTAATTCTAAATAAACAAAAAAGACACCAGTAAGATGGTGAAGAGCCATGAAAGGCTTACCAATACTAATGTCAAGAGCATAGCAATGTCTAGTCTAAGAATAAACCAAGGGCTTTGCTTGGAAACTTGGGTTCTAATCCATTCCTACATTTCAAAGCCCTGAGAAAGTCACAGAAGCTAATGGTGTAGTTTTTCCAATTACAAAATTGGAAGAGTGTTGTACCTTCCTGTTATACAAGTGTTTTATGTAGCTTCTTTCACAAAAGTGCTTCTTAAAAGAGCATGAAATACATAATGAGCCTAGTATACGGCCTGGAAGACAGAAGATAGTGAGCCTACTAGTGTTGAGTACATGAATCAAGAAAGTTCCATGTACAGGACAGAGGAGGCCTAACTGGCATACCATCACTGAAAGATCTTTAGAGTTTCTAGGAACTGACCCAGGATATATGGGGTAATGGGTAAGGGAATTATAAACTATGAGTGTCAATGAGTCATGTGCTATGCCTAACCCCTTACAAGAACCATTCACTTCCGTGAATCAGCCAACTCATACTAAATTACGGCCTTGCAGTTATTAAAGTCACGAAAGACAGCTTTTTTTGCCAGTCAGGTAAGGCACTACCATAGGATGGTGAAGGAACATATCTGGGAAACATGGACTCAGGTACTAGGATCTTAAACTTCTAAATGCTTTTCAGCTGCCACTTAGATACCACTTCAGCAGATTCTTAGTCTAACCAAGAAACATTAAACTGCAGTATTATGCTCCATCATAAAGCACAGTCCTGTTTTCACAAAAGCTTGGATGATAATCATTAATAAGTCATATGACATTCTGATGAGTCTATTTATTCATCCACCCTAAGCCTACTGAGCCCCACTATAAATGGACACATTGATAGTCATGAGGGAGAGACAGATGAATACATCCTGTTCTCCACTCCAAGGCTATCGAAGGGGGAAAAGAAGGTCAACACACTGTTAAAAACAGTTTGTTAAAGGTACTCTTCTATGCCAAATACAGGTCAGGGGGTGACTTTAAAAACATGAGGGAGTTGAATAAGGCTTCAAAGTAGAGCTTACTTTTAAGTGAGGATTTGCTTGGGAAGGTGGGAAGGTGGGGGAGGTAGGGTATAGTCTAGTCACAAACAGGTTTTGAAAAAAAAAAAAAAAAAGGTACCAGAAAACTTTGTGTTCAGTTAATGGTGAAAAAATATTTGCAGCTAGGGTGAATGTGTGTAGAAAGGGGAGATGAAAAATGGGTGTGTTATGGCTGGAGAGATGGGTTTGAAACATACTCGTGTTCTCTGCACACTTACACATCATGGTAGGTAGTTTGGCTTTGTCTTGAAGATTTTAGAACCATAACTTTTATTAAGTGGACTCCTGTCGAGTGACAGGAGGACACAGATACCTATGTAGATAAGAACATTTGGGAGGCTATTGTGTTAGATTGAGCAAAAGTGGAAAAGACTCAAATCAGGGTCAGTGCTACTAAGGAAGTAAGCACAAGGAATGAGTGAGGAGAACAATGGACAACTCTGCCTATTTTAGACAGCTGGACTACTGGTGTAGCACTGTAGAATCAACACTGGACTGTGAACCACAGGTTGGCAGTTCAAACTTACCAGCAGCTTCTTGGAAACCACAAACAAGTTTGGTATGAGTCAGAACTGACTTTATGGCACATAACAACAACAACAACAACAACAATTGACTATAAAAATTCTTGAAGGTAGAAGATGACTAGAGGAAGAGCATGTGTTCAATTGGGAACACTTTGTGTGCAGGGCTCAGTATCCTTGCTCATAAAATTGATAATGAATAACAAAGCAGATCTTACGGCTGTTGGAAGGAATAACTGATAAACACATAAACCTGATCCTTGTTTTTGTGACTAGATTTGTGGAAGCCTGAGCTTGGAGAGACTATGGGCAGAAGAAGGCATTGATACATAGTGGTTCGAACTCTCTGAGGGTTCAAGCTTGACCATCCAGAGAAATTGCCACTTGGAAATCAGGGCCAGAACCCTGGTACGTACTAATATATGGAAGATGAGGTATTGAAATGGTGGCCAGTAAAGACAACTAGGAAGGAATGCTTCAAATGTGGGAATCTGGAGAAAATGGCATCACAAAAATAAAAAGAGCAGAGAATAGTCAAAAAGGCCATTTCTGTCCAGAAGCTGGAGGCACGGGAGTACCACTGACACCCTCAACAAGAGCTGCTTCAATGAAGTGGAGGATATGAAGTCTTTGCTTAGTAAGATTGTATTTTTATGACATAGTTTTGGGGAAAATTTCATTCAGTAGGTCTGCAACACTTTTATTCTCCCCCATGACCTACCAATTACATTTTTTTTCTGTATTTAATTTTTAGAAGAACTTTGGATCTGACTGAGAGAAAATAAATGCTATTGGAATTCATTGATATATTTTTCAGTAGAGAAAAGAACACTATGTTTTTTAAAAACAGTGAAGAGACATAGGGAATAAAATATAAAATAGCCCAAACAAAAATGCAAGCTTTCTGTAAAAATGTAGAAAGTAGAATTAACCTAGTGCTGTGGAGAGAACAGAGGCTGATGTCTTTGATTGAGACTCTACTCCCAACTGTAGAAAACCATTAAAGACATGCTAGCAACCACTCCATGTTTATGACATACAACTCTTACCTTTCTTTTGATGTCAATGAACTGGGAAAACATTAAAGACCAGTAGAATGACAGCTGCAAGATGTAGTAGTAGTGAAGGTCAGTTGTGAGTGGCTGAGAAAAGAAATAAAAGGAAGGAGCAGTAGTTAATAATCTGTGATCATGGAGTTGGTTCAGATCCTATGGAAAGAACAGAACAGCCCCATAGGGTTTCTAAGAATCCTGGTGTGGCACTGTGGGTTCATGCAATGGACTGCAAAGTTAGTTTGAACTCCAAGGTTGGTGGTTCAAGCTCACCAGCTGCTCCTCGGAAACCTGATACATGGTCACTATGGGTCAGAACAAACTCGATGGCACTTAACAACAACAATCTTAAAGAAAATACACTTCCATGTCTTTCTCCCATAGAGTGAACTACTGACCTTCCAGTTAAGCAACCAAGTAGTTAGCCACTAAGGCTCCTGAATAGTTAATGGGGAACCCAATTTGTATCTCAAACATCTAAAGCTCAGTCATGAAAACTGACATGGTTATCCAGCCTGAAACATTGCAATTCCTGGTTCATTCTCCTTGTGAAGAACAGGGCTCTGAAGGATGCCTGTAATCCACAGCATGAGGTACTATTTTCATTTCATCTCCAATTAAAAAGCATTAATCACTAAGATCATTTGATGCCCCCATTTCTTTAAATTGAGTTTAACAATAACATTGATGGTCACTTGAAATAGATTCCTTGGGGGAAAAAAATATTCTGCTACATATAGATAAGAATAATCCTGGACAACTGTAGTGAGATTCCACAGCACAAGGTAGATGGTGGAAACCGGAGTGCTAGTTTTAAAAAAATGATCCATTAGTCAGGATGTCTCCTTGTTATTAGGAAATGTTCAGTACATTGTAAATGTCAAACAGGATGTCTCAAATATATTTATTAAAAGAGCTGAGCACCAGGGAGACTGCCAAGAGATGCCAGACTAGGCACTAAAAGGGCATCTCAGATCAAGTCCCAGCTCCACAACTCAGTAGATACAGAATTTAACTTGGGTTTTAGTTATCTTACTCGGAAAATGGGAGTAGTAACTGCTCTACCTGCTTCAAATGTATGGAGATGGGGTTAGGCCCAGAGAAAGTGGAGTCAGGGTATCTATTTTGTATTAAGAAAACAAAACAGAGCTTTTAATCATCATTTTGGATGGGTTCTGTCTAATTGTTTTATTAAGCTGGAGTGGAATGCCTTGCTTTATTGGAATAAATAAATGACTATCTTTCTGAATGGATCACAAAAACAAGTCCACACCCCTACAAATGAGATAGAATAAATATACAATAGAAATTTAAAAGCTTTATACACCAAAAACAGCATCACAAATGCCTATCACAAGAAGCAGGTGCTTCTTTACCTACCAACTCTAATAAGCATGGGCATCTAGTAAAATAGTCCATCTCACAGCTTTCTGACAACAAAATACATGACAAGATAGGACACTCTTCAACCAGTAATCCTAAACTCTGTGGTCATGATGAATGTTGTTGTTGTTAAGTGCCGTTGAGTCAGTTCCGACCCATAGCGACCCTGTACAGGGTTTCCGAGGGTGTAAATCTTTACGGGAGTAGAAAGCCTCATCTTTCTCCCGCGGAGCGGCTGGTAGTTTCGAACTGCTGACCTTAAGATTCGCAGCCCGATTCGTAACCACTACGCTACCAGATGAACAGCAGCGTGTTTAAACAGCTCAGAGATGTCCTTCCCAATTGTCTTTTGAAAACTTGAAGGCACTAGCCAGGAGGGACTGGTTTCAGGCCAGATGTACGGCAGCAATGAAATCTACAATATAGGGCACTGGCTTGAGGGCCTTTCAAGCAGAGGATCCTGACCTGAAGTAAACTTCAGCTCTCTGAAATTCATTTCTATCTTACTCCCAGCATCACCACCCGGGAGAATGCACAGAGGGGTTACAAGGACAAGTTAGAACAGGTCTAGGAGCTGCTGAGTTTATAGCAGAGCATAGAATTATAATAATTACTATATTCACGGAGTTCTTTGTAGCTGACAGTGCTTATGCATGTGATATCTTACTGGAAACTCAGAAAACTATAAAATTAGTAAGATCGTTTTCCAGATTTTATAGTTGACAGGAAATTACTGTCAGTTAAGTCAAGTTTAAAGGGATGACTCAGTTTCACAATTAATAAGGGGACCCCCTTAGGGTGTCTCACCCCCAACATTGCTTTTTATAACAAGGCACTCAAGCTTCAACCAACTCCAAATTTAAATTATTTTACACTAAGAATACACACACCTATATAAAAACTATCATATCCTGGTGGTTCTGTGGGTTAGGTACTGGGCTGCTAACCTCAAAGTTGGTGGTTCAAACCCACCAGTTACTCTAGGAGCTCTGCAGGAGGCAGATAAGGCTGTCTGTTCCCATAAAGATTTACAGTCTCAGAATTCCAAAGGAGCAGTTCTGTTCTGTCTTATAGGGTTGCTATGAGTTGGAATTGACAGGATGGCAGTGGATTTTATGTAATACACAGAGTATTTTAATAAAATTGAAGGCAGACCACTATTCTTTTCTCTAAAATCTGTCCAAGTATTTCTTTTTTATGTTAAAGACATAATAAACATGTTTCATGAGAATGCTCCATTTTAAAAAATGCTAATAAGGTTTGACATTGACCCTGAACTGCAATCTACATATTTACATAGATATCATTACAAAGTTCTATAATTACATGCATAGTCATGATTTTATCATAATAATAATTATGATTTAATTTTTTATACAGACACATAAGTAGTTATTTTTTAAAAGTAGTTTATAGAGTTTATTGAGATGACCACTCTTCCCAAAAGAGATCATGAATTTGTCCTAGATTTCAGGAGCTGTGTCCTGAATTACTCACGAATAAACAAAGATGTCCTATCAGTAGGAGGGCGCTTGATCTTGATCTGAATCTCCACATAAGGTGTCTTTCCTTAAATACAAATGATGTTTCCTACTTTTAAACATAACTATATCTGCAAGACCTCCAAACTTTCATGTTGAATCTACAGTACTGTCTGTGAAACAGTTTACAGGCACTACAACTAATTTTCTCAGAAGTAAGCAATTTCTCAGCTCCATCCATAAATGTGAGTTATTTCAGACTGCATTATAGTTGAGGAAAACAGTGGGCATTGCATTTTATGTTGCATTTGTTCTCGATGTCTTTCACGTGACATAATTTTTCTCTTAAGTGTGGTGCATCAGAGCAGCTGTCACATGAACATTCCAGTTAAGATTTCTAGAGGTCTTCTGATGTATATTTGAAAATAGAATTTTAAATATATACGGATTTCTCAATTTAGTTTGGCATTACAGGACACTAGAGACACAAAGAGAGCTTTAAAAGAAGAAACTCCAAGTATTTAAGATAGTAGAACAGCAGCTGGTCTGAGAATTACAATTGTGTACAATTTGCAGTTGGTTTTATTGCCCCTTTACTCTCTATCAGACAGTCAAAGAATGCTCAGTTCTCTCTAACCACCTAATGTTACATATTGAAATTCTTTTCTAATCTAAATAAACTGCTTTAAAGACATGGAAATGCAAACTGGAATTCCATTTCAATGTGTCATTAAGCTTGAACTTGCCCAAAGAGTATCGGATGATGCCTGTCTCTGTTAACACTACATGTTAACAGAGGAGATATGACAAGTCTCTGCCCATTAACCTTATGTACACCACCAAGTTCAAACGTCTCTACAAAGACAACCCCAAATTACTCCAGTAACACTAAAAAATCCAAGAGACTTCCTGTAACTGTTTATTTTTGTCACTAAAATATCTAGTCATGTTTGTTTTCTCTTATATAACATGTTCCAATCAAAATGAAAAATTCTGTCACAGATGTTCAAATATTAGTCAATTTGGGATCACAATAAATAATCCATGGACAGATGCAAAGGTATGCCAGTGGTGATATGATTTTTACCTCAATTTAAACAATGCTCTTTTCAATTGCAGGAATAATCCATTCACAAATAATGGTATGGATAAAAGACAAGTTTTCTGTGTCCAAGGAAACAGTGCTTGATTTATATATTTTGAGTCTGCTCCTGAGCCACAGAATGAGATTAACCCAGTGTATCTGCCTCAGTTGCGTGCTTAAGCTTTCCACACTTGCTGCTGAGATAGGCCTCCTCTATTATCAGGTCTTCAGACTTTCCTTGCTAATGAGAAATTGGCTGGCTGTTAGAAAAAGGAATACTCCACCTGTTGGACTGATATCACCTGACTCTTCAACAGCTGCACTTTCCAAACTTAACTTCATCTGCTAAGACACTTGGGCTTGGATTCTGAACTTCACTATGAACATACAAACTCTGTTCCTCACTAGTTATCCCTAGTATCTACCAGCAGGAGGGGACAATAGCAAGGCGTCTATGGAATCTGTTGGGATCTACCTGAAAGCAAGGTATTGACCAACGGAAGATATTCTGCACGTCAAAAAATTACAAAGTCACCTCTCCTTACCTGATAGGGGTAGTTGTACCAGCAGTGCCTTGTGTTCCACAACCAGGGAGTCTGAAAAGGTTAAAAAAGAAATATAGTTCAGATGGGTTGACAAAGAAGCCAAAGAAGACATGTTTAGGATGGGCTCTTTCTCCCAGTATTTTTGGATTTCAATAAACTACATAATTAGTGATAGGATATTGAAGCAATTTTTATCCCACCATGCATTCTATCTGTGTAATTTTCTAAAACTCAACTAGAAATATTTCAGGCTGCTTCTGGAATGGAGTCTCAACTGGTCTTTTGTTTTGTTTTGTTTTGTTTTAAGCTTGTGCTGGTCACCTGGATCTATTCCTGCTGTGCAACCAGCTCCAATAGCAGTGTCCTTCAGAGACTTCACAAGACCAGATGCAAATCAATTTTACTGTTCTCAATAGATGTGGATGACAACTGGTACAAATCGCTGCAACATTCCCATTCGTGTTTAGAAAGCAACACTATTAGTCAATTGTTTCATGACTTCTGAGAAGTCAGGTATCTTATTTTACTATAACCGCTCAGGCCAATTCCAAGGCTGATGAATCTAACCCTTGCAGCACACTCCACTCCCCTGACCTGTGTGGTCAAGACCTTTTGGTTACAAAATAATCTTAATTTGACAGTAACTACTTGCTTTACAACATCACATAGTCAGATAGGTAATTCAAGTGTCCACCCAGATTCTAAACATTTGCAACAACCAAAGAGAGGTTTAGATTTAAACAGCCCACTTCATCATCTAATAATACCAGCACATACGATTAAGACTAAGTCTGTCCTTAACAAGTCTCAGTCTCTCTATTACGTATATGTGCTTAATATATGCAGTCCTGGTATGGTGCGGTGGGCTAATGCGTCAGACTGCAAAGTCGTTTGAACTGCAAGGTCGGTGGTTCAAGCTCACCAGCGGCTCCTAGGAAACCCTATACAGGGTTGCTATGGGTCAGAATCGACTCGACGGCTCGTAACAACAACAACCATATGTTTGTATATGTCTATGATAAGATTGCCATTGAAAGATTAATGCTGGACTGATTTCAGTTATGTTTGCTTGAATTAATCTCTATATATTGTACTAGGCCCTAGAAGATCAAATGTTGCTGCCGGAGCTCCATCGGTGGTAAGAGAATACAGCTGACTCCCTGAAAGTCAATGTACCCAAACCATTACCATCTCCTCTTCAGTCTTGCATGATGTCTTTCCCCAAGGACTGCTCCCTCTGATAATATGTCCAAAGAATGAGAGACGAAATCTGGCCATCCTGTCTTCTACGGAGCATTCTGGCTGTACTTCTTCCGACACAGATTTGTTTGTTCTTCTGGAAGTCCATGACACTTTTAATATTCCTCTCCAATATCATAACTCAAATGCATCAATTTTCTACAGTCTTCCTTACTCATTATCCAACTTACACATGTATGTGAAGTCACTGAAAATGTCATAACTTGGGTCAGGTGTTCCTTAGTCCTCATACTGACATTTTTGTTCTTCTACACTATAAAGAGGGCTTGTTCAACAGACTTGCCTAATGTAATACATCGTCTGGTGTCTTGACTGCTGGTTCCAAGATGGTTAATGGTGGATCCAAGAAAAAGGATCCAAGAAAAAACTTCACTCTTTTCTCCATTTATCATGATGTTATTTATTGATCCATTGGTGAGGTTTTTTGTTTTCTTTACATTGAGGTGCAACCAGTACAAGAGGCTGTGGTCTTTGATCTTCATTGCTGTTGTTGTTTTTGTTAAGTATCTTGGAGTCGGTTCCAACTCACAGTGACCCTGCACAAGGTTTCCAAGGCTGTAAGTCTTTACAGGAGCAAAAAGCCTCATCTTTCTCCTGCGGAATGACTGGTAGTTTTGAACTGCTGACCTTGAGGTTAGTAGATTTGTACCCACTATGCTATCAGAGCTCCTCTGATCTTCATTAGTAAGTATTTTTTCTCTTCACTTTCATCAAGCAAGGTTGTATTATTTGCATGTCACAGGTTGTTAATGAGTTTTTCTTCAATAGTGATGCCATGTTCTTTATATAATCCAGTTTCTCTGATTATTCGTTCAGCATAGATTGAATAAGTACAGTGAAAGAATATAACCTTGGTGCACACCTTTCCTGATTTTAAACCATTCAGTGTCCCCGTGTTCTGTGTGAATGACTGTCTCTTGGTCTATGTATGGGTTCCAGAATATTCATTCTCCACTATTTGTCTATAGCTTGTAATGATCCACACAGTCAAAAGCATTTGTATAGTCAATAAAGCACAAGCAAACCTCTGACATCAGCAATGATACTGCTGGTTCCCTTTCCTCATCTGAATCCACCATGAACCTCTGGCAGTTACAACAGTTTTTAAATTATCGTTAGCAAAATTTTACTTGCATTTGTTATTAATGATTATTTTTTGCATTCTGTAGGGTCATAGCTTTCTAGAACAAGCACAAATATGGATCTCTTCCAATCTGTTGGCCAGGTAGCTGTCTTCCAAATTTCTTGGCATAGATAAGTGAGTGCCTCCAGTGCTGTATCAGTTTGTTGAAAAGTTTTCAGTTTGTATTTCATCAGTTCCCAGAACCTTGTTCTTTTGCCAATGCCAAAAGCACACCTTGGACTTTCTCCTTCAGTACCACTGGCTCTTGATCATATGCTACCTTTTGAAATGGTTGAACACTGACTATTTATTTTGGGTATAGTGACTCTGTGTCTTCCTTCCATTTTCTTTTGATGCATTCTGCATCTTTCAATATTTTGCCCACATAATCCTTCAGTATTTCAACTCAAGGCTTTTTTCTTCAGTTCATTCAGCTTGAAAATTGTTGAGCGTGTTTTTCTCTTTTGGTTTTCTAACTCCAGGTCTTTGCACACTTCACTATAATATTTGACTTTGTCTTCTGGAGTTGCCCTTTGAATTTTTCTCTTCAGCTTTATTACTTCCTGATTTCCTCCATTTTCTTTAGCATCTCTATACTGGAGAGTAAGTTTCAGAGTCTCTTGTGACATTCATTTCCATCTTTTCCTTCATTCTTGTCTTCTTAATGACCTTTTGTTTGCTAGTGTTCTTGATATCATCCCAATTTTTTTCAGCTTCAGCCTGAACTTCCATATAAGCAATTGATGGTCTCTTCCACAGTTTTCCCCTGATGTTGTTTTGGATGATGATAGGGAGCTTTACCACGGTCTCTTTCACAGATGTAGTCAATTTGATTTCTGTGTATTCCAGGTATTTGGTCTTGAAAAATTCTACCTATTGTGTGATCTCTATCATCATTTGCATCACCAAAGCAATTTTCCAACCACTCCTTCCTCCTTTTTTTTTCCAACTTTCACATTACAATCAACAGCAATTACCAATGCATCTTTATTGCATATTTGATCAATTTCAGATTGAAGAAGTTGGTAGAATTCTTCTATTTCACCCTCACTGGCTTTAGAGTTTGGTGCATAAATTTGAATAATAGTGATATTAACTGGTCTTCCTTGTTGTTGTTTAGTGCCATTGAGTCGGTTCTGAGCCATAGTGACCCTGTATAGGGTTTCTGAGGAGTGGCTGGTGAGCTTGAACCGCTGACCTTGCAGTTCAAACAGCTTTGCAGTCTGGCACATTAATCTCAGTGCCACACCGGGACTTCAGTCTTCCCTGTAGGCGCATGGACATTATCCTATCACAGACAGTGCGGTACCTCACGACTGGTCTGGATATGTTCTTTTTGGCAATAAATGCAACACTATTCCTCTTCAATTTGTCATTCCCAGCATAGTAAACTATGTGGTCGTCAGATTCAAAATGGCCAATACCAGTCCATTTCAGCTCACTAATGCCTAAGATATTGATGTTTATGCGTTCCAATTCATTTTTGACAATTTTCAATTTTCCTAGATTTATACTCCATGCTCCAATTGTTAATGGATTTTTACAGTTGTTTCTCTTCATTTTGAATTGTGCCCCATCAGCAAATGAAGGGTCCAAAAGCTTTACTCCATTCACTGCATCATATTCAACTCTACTTTGTAGAGGCAGGCAGCTCTTTCCCAGTCACATTTTGAGTGCATTCCAACCAGAAGGGCTCATTTTCTGGCACTATATCTGACAGTGTTTTTCTGCTATTCATAAAGTTTTCAGTGACTAACTATTCAGAAGTAGCTCGTCACTCTTTCTTCCTAGTCTGTCTTCATCTGGAATCTCATCTGAAACCTGTCCACCATGGGTGACCCTGCTGGTATTTCAAATACCTGTGGCATAGCTTCCAGAATCACAGCAACTCACAAGCCACCACAGTACGACAAACTGACAGACGAGTGGTTATTTGTTGTTAAGTGCCGTCAAGTTGATTCCAACCCATGGCGACCCTGTATAGGGTTTCCAAGGAGCAGCTGGTAAGCTTGAACCACTGACCTTATAGTTCAAACGACTTTGAACTATATATACATATATATATATATATATATAAGCTACTGTGCTTTAAAGTCTTTGTGTAAACAGCATCCTAACCTGTATTCTCACTAAATTATATATCAAGGGAAGTATCAATAACATTTTCTCAACAAAGAAACAATGGCAGAGCGATTCAGTCATTTAAAATTATTTCAATTAATTAATTGAAAGCTACCCAGTAGATCAGCAGAGAAGCTGTGATCCAAACCCAGGTTTCATTACACCTTATTCTAAGTACCCTGGGCGTAAAGGAACAGCAATCAGAGGCAAGTATCATGGTAGTTTGGAATTAATTTCCCCAAATGGATTGTCACATATAAACACTACGTTTTCAGATTAGAAAGGACCTTCAAATCCTCTTTAATCTGCAAAAGAACCTGCATTTATAGAAGCAATCTAAAGAGTTCCATGATTATCTATCACTGAAAAGATCCCCAGACGGTTAATTCCTGTCCACACCACCACCTACTTTGTTCAATAGAAATAGAACCAACATTTCAATTTTTAAAAATTTTTAACATAAAACAGAAGGCCATAAATGGTGCTTAAACGCTATTAAATTACATATCAACTAATTTCAATTTAAGAAGATTTAGGAAACCTGGGA